AGCAGCTGCAGCAGCTGCAGCAGCTGCAGCAGCTGCAGCCTGTACAGTATGTATATCCTAGTGTCTCCCCAGCAGCAACATACTGGACCCCACAGGAGACAGTTGTCTCCCCCCCTCCTTCTTCTTCTTGTATTTTCTCAACAAATGAAGGAGACAGTGAAATAATAAAAACAGAAGCACAAAGAATAAGTAAAGATGCACTTGCTGTAGGGACACATGTATATGGAGGAGTAAAGAACGCAGTAAACTCGGAGACAACACAACAGCTGCTGCGCTCTGTTGGGGACATCGTTGCGGGGGCTTATGATAGGCTGCGGGGTACGCGCTAGTTAACTATGAAACGGAGACAAAAGGAGACAGAAAGGAGACAAAAAAGAGACAAAAAGGAGACAAAAAGGAGACAAAATGGAGAAGAGACAGAAGGGAGACTAAGAGGAGACAGGAGGAGACAAAAAGGGGAGAAAAAGGAGACAAAAAAGAGACAGAGGGGAGAGAAAGAAGAGACAAAAAGGAGAGAAAAAGGAGACACTCGGTATACTGCTCTCTTTTGTCTCCTTTTTTTTTATCACAGCGAAAAGAAATAGAAAAAGAGGAGAAAGAAAAGGAGACAGAGAGATAGATGTATGAGTGCTTGCTGCAGCTGTTGCTGTCTCCCCTTGTCTCCTCCTGTATCTGCACCCAGCAGCAGAGGAGACAGACGCAGACAAAGACAAAGACAAAGACACACACACAAATATTATAGTAAAATATTATAGTAGAGGCTGGAGAGGGAGGGGTTGGGGGGCAGCTGCTAGCAACAAGCAAAGGAGAAGGAGACAGAGAGAGAGAGAGAGAGACGTGCTGCTGCTAGCTGCAACTGTCTCCTCCGCGGCAGCAGCAGCAGCAGCAGGAGGAGACACGGAGACACCGCAGCCTTGAGGTGTATGTGGAGGTGGTTCAGGTGTACGCGCAGCTGTACGTACACCTGAGCGCCAGCAGGAGATAAAGGTAAAAGAGAAAGCCAGAAGAGAAAAGGAGACACCGCAGCGAAGGAGACAGATAGAGAGAGAAGAGGGGGGGAGGGGACAGGGAGAGACAGAGACAGAAAGGAGACAGGGTATGCACAGAGACGGAGACAGAGACAGAGACGGAGACAGAGACAAACAGAGACACGCAAAACAGAGACAGACAGACGCATGAACCACCACCACCTGCTGCTGCAGCAGCAGCAGCAGCAGGAGCAGCAGGAGCAGCAGCAGCAGCGGGGAGACAGAGCCTACGGCTGTCTTGATTGAGTCTGGGGTGTATCTACTGTCTCCTTTCTCCTGTCTCCTGTCTCCTGTCCCTAAACCCTGTAAACCTAAACCCTAAACCCTAAACCCTAAACCCCCTGTCTCCTGTCTCTTGCATCAGTGATGAGTCTGTTTGGGGTGGGGTGCTGCAGGCTGCCGCGACCGCGCAGGCGCGGAGGTGCCCTCAAACCCTAAACCCTAAACCCTAAACCCTAGACCCTAAACTGTCTCATTTTCCGTCTTGTTCTTCATTCTCGTCTGCTTCTATCTGGATCAACTGTTTCTCCCTAAACCCTAATAAACCCTAAACCCTAGTAAACCCTAAACCCTACTAAACCCTAAACCCTAGTAAACCCTAAACCCTAGACAAGCCCTCGCGCGTTGCATGCAGCAGCTGCCCCTCTTTGCTGCCAAGAACAAATAGTGCACCTCCTAGGGTTTAGGATTAGGGTTTAGGGTTTAGGGTTTAGGGTTTACGGTGCACTGATGACTCCGCTACGGAGGAGTATATTTAATATGCTGCAGCAGCAGCAGCAGCAGCAGGAGCAGCAGATGCTGCCGCTGCTGCTGCTGCTGCTGCTGCGAAGAGAAGGGGGGACAAGGAGAGCCATTGCTGTCTCCTTGAGGATTGAGGAGACAGAAGAAAAAGAAACAAACAAAATAAAACAAAAAAAAAAACAAAAAAAAAAATATTAAAAAACCCCTCTCTCCTCTTGCTTATGCTGGTGCTGCTCTATACACACCAGCAGCAGCAAACCCTAAACCCTAAACCCTAAACCCTAAACCCTAAACCACAAAATTTCAATGTATGCTCCTAAAACTAAACCTCCTCGCTGCCTCTCCTGTAACGGCAACCTGCTAATAAAAAGGAAGAAGTTTAAGGGTTTAGGGTTTAGGGTTTAGGGTTTAGGGTTTAGGGTTTAGGGTTTCACTGATAGTTAATAAAAATAATAAATTAAATAAGCGGTATAAGAAACAAACTAAACGGAGACTGTCTCCTCTCGATTGCCTCGAGACAGAAGAACCGCTGCTGCTGCTGCTGCTGCTGCTGCTGCTGCTGCTGCTGCTGCTGTAGCGCAGCAGCAACTGCTGCTGATGAGGCCGACAGCTGTTGCTGCTGTTATTAATTAAAATAATTTGTGTTTTTATTTTCCCCTTATATACTGCAGCACACACAAACACACACACCTAGTCAGCTGCTGCAGCAGCAGCTGCTGCTGCTGGTGTTG